CACTATGCAGCTATGTTTCACTATTAAAGTGTGTGATCGAGACTTATATTGAAGGCTGTCTAGCTTTCAAATGATGTTGAAAGGAAGAAAGAACTGCACAGTACAGATTTATGGCCTCTGGTCACTAAACTAGTGACAATTCAGTTTCTTCCTTCAAGTCAATTCTTTCACTAGATCACAGCCTTTTCCCAATTCCGGTTCATTACCAGTCATACTGAATTGCGTTTAAGTTGGAAATGATTCTGACTCCGACTCTGACTCTTGTACAAACTTTACATTTCTTTAAATTAGCTTTTTTTTGTTTGTCAGGTGGCCTTTATTTATTTCCCATTGCTTCATGCATTGGAAAGGTTGAGCTACTATAATTGAATACTGAAGAGTTCAAAATCAAAACCTTCCTGACCAGTAAAATAACCTCAGAACATCTGGTAAAGTATTAACTTGTGAGGAGGGGATAATAAGTCCTTCTTGTTTCATGTGTAAGGTAGCGCAAGACCCACAGTGAAAGGCTGGATCTTCATCAACTTTTTATTAGATGGCGTGAAAATGTCTGCAGTGATTATTTGGGATTTTCATCAGAAGGAAAATACTTTCTCTGCGACCTCTGCCTTCAGCACGTTTGTGGAGGAGTTTGTCTTACTCAAGCTTCTCCTGTGAAGACTTGTTTCTCTTTGTCCTGCATGCATTGGAAGCTGTTCTTTTGTACCAATACAGTTATTTTTGTAACTCATGCTGCTTTAAATTTTGTTTGCAGAATTGACTTAATTAAACCCTTGTGACGCTGGTGTTGGTACAGTACAGTCAGGAATGCTCAGTTAAAGGTGAAGTGATAGAGGGTTCCAGGGTTGCAGATTTGTGCAGCTGTGGTATAACATAGCCAGGGGACGCAACATATTTGATAGCAGACGGGTAAAGGCCTGAAGAAGACAGATGTGCCCTGCATTAACACTCATTATTGACAAAAGATATAGAAGAGAGCTCTATCACATTACAGAAATCAATACAGTTTGGAATGTCTGTCCATTATCCCAGTCTTTAGTATGGTGCTGATATTTCGGATGCATGTGTTGTTTTTACATTAACTACATTCTGGGGAAAGCAGGTCAGGTATTGGGTATCTTGATTCTTAATGTGGCAAGCCACAATCTGTGGCACAATCTGCCAAGAGCCACTTTCGCAGGAAATATTAACCTTCTCAAAGCAGATTGTCTTCTGTCTTAAATTTGACCTAATTTTCCCTAAATTGTTATTTTATACATACTGTATAGCATACAAAATGCGCATGTATAAAATAGTGGGGCTGTGATGAGGGTTACTTCCACTTTATCTTGCTTGAACATTACTTCTGATGGTGCTATTGAGTAATACAGTAAATGCGTGGCTAGTGCTGTCAGTAAAAGAAAGTCATGCACAAAAACTAGAGTTTGGAGCATGCGTTTAGCATATAACCACATATAACGGAGATTTGAGTCACTGTTTCACTGCAGAAATCCATCGTGCTCTCAGCCTGACCTTTGCTTTAGGCACACTATCATGAGCCCCAGTAGAAAGTGCAGGACCACAGCTCTTTTTCCATGTGTTGTATAGAACATATAACAGCTTGGTTCTGTTCAAATTGACAGACGCAGGAGGACTGTGGGAAAATTGGCTAGTTCCTCTGTGTTGGGGTAGCTCTCTTTTTGTTTAGGCATGTCTGTAGCTATATTGGGGTACGACTGTGAACAAAAAGCATTTCAAATCCTTAGCCTTGGGCTACGCGGCATCTAAGGGCCTCGATGTATTCTCTGTGGGAGGGTGTGTGGTGCTGGGGGAGGGCTTGTGAAAGGAAGTGTGAGATGGGAAGCTGGGAAAGAGCTTCCAGAGGTCATTCTTCCCTGTTTAATTCCACTGCCGGAGGCCCAGCGTTGGCGAGGCCTGGAGAGAGCATCCAGGGGTGAGCCGGCACCATCGGAATTAGGCTGTGGGGAGCGAGAAGAGCCCCGGGTTCAACCAGGGAGGAAATTGAAAGTTGAGCCTGCTGAGGGGGCAGCGCTGGGGGAGAGGAAGGCGGCTCGCAGGGGGGATAGGAAAAGTGAAGGGTGTGCCTGCCGTGCAAGGGCACCTCCTCTTCTGAGCATCGCACATGCAGTTGTCGCAGCTGGGCCTCTGCTGTCCTCGTCCTGGAGGCTAATAGCTGAAGCCTGTGCTGTCCTCGTCCCAGAGGCCGAGGCCTGTGCTTTCCCCTCTCGGAGGCTGAGAGTTGAGGCCTGTGCTGTCCTCGTCCCGGAAGTTGAGAGTAGAGCTGAGTGCTCGCAAGCAGTAGAATCTGTCTTTAATATGAAAGCTTTTTTCATTTTAAACAGCAGTCATTCAATGTTTAGAATTCGATGTTTTAGCAACAACAGCCTTGAGAGTAGATGAATTATTTACTAAGTGTATATACTGTATAACCTTCTTTGTCCCATTAATTAACCAAAAAACATTTACCCTCTGTACTCATTGAGCAGATTTGGCAATAAAGTCAGAATATTTTGTAAACATTCAATTTTCAGAACATACCAGTACTGCTGGATTGTGTGATTGATCGAGCCCTAAATTCATGCTTTTGACATGGGTGAAATGACACGTGCCACAGGAACTGATATCTCTTGTGAAATTTAGTGTTTAAGTTGAAAAAGAACTCAGCTCGGGAGATCTAAAACCATTCTTTTTAAACTATGCATTTTGTGTTTAACATGGAAAACTTCTCTGTCCTGGAAGCGTGATAAATAGAGGCTGTGTATATGATAGGATCATGTCCTGTCAATGATAACTGTTGCAGTGAAACTGAATATTTTTAACACAGTATAACTGATGTGTGCGTATATGTATGTTGCAAGTATAATATGGTGAACTAACTAGATTATTCATATTTCACTTTTGAAGGCCTGTGAGGTATCCAGTGAAAAATGGGCTCCACCACTTGAGTCTGACCCATGTACTGTATTGTAGGATTTGACCCACAGGGCACCGCTGTGTTGTAAAGGCTCAGATACTTTGTTTAAATTTACACATGTACGCAAATAAGAATGAGTCTCTGTACCTTAAGCAAAATGGAACGGAATGAATGTTTTGAAAACAAAACCACGAGACCTCAGACAATCAGGTTGTGTGGGGAACATGTTTCCTAGTGGTGGACAGTTGTTTGTAGCATACAAATCCCTTTTAAATAAAGGCTGTTGTGGGAAGAATATGTAGAGAGCAGGGATTAATGGTTGTGGGAGGACACTCTTCCAGTACTGGGAGAAGTCAGGATGGGCTGAGGAGTTGTGTGGGTTCAGCAAATGGATTAGAACTCAGGACCGGAGACACAGCTGACTGGAGGTGGGACGACGTAGGGGAAAAACATCTGTCTCTGATAAGAGCAAAGGCTGTTAATTAAAATATAACGATCTCTGAAGTGAAATAGTTTTTTTAAGGTCCCAGTTCCTACACAGTACGTGGTAAAGGATTTTTGCTTTACCTGTCAAAATACTGACTTATCGGCCTTGCTGAACATAAGAAGAGTCTACAGGCTTAGACAAGCAACGGTTTAATTTATGATGAACCTGTACTGGCTTGGGTGAAGTATTGATATGAGCACAGACATAAAATATGATGTGACAGGTCTGAAATGCAGGGCAGAAGATCTAACAGATATTTTTCCTCCCTTTGTCTTACATTGATCAAATTTCAGCAGCTGCATTACAACTTGAATGTTTTGTTAGCCGTTCTATAAAGGTATTGAATCATTTAAAGTCTTTGCTATGCTGCTACTGTATGGGTAAAGGTTTTGGACATGTCTGACTGTCTGTTGCTTCCTGACATTATATTGTGGTTTTTAAATGGCTTGGTCCCAAAATATGAGAGTGCCTCTTTTTTTAGAGCTTCTTTATAAACCAGGTCACTGTTGTTAATGGCTGAAACGAGAACTTTTAGACTTGGCTGGGTGAAAAGTTGTAATGGCACAAGGGGTGGCTTTAGGTAAGAAACAATAGCATTTTGAAGTTGCTTTTCAAGTGCTGAAGTTGAAACCTGTTTGTTAATTTTCCTGTTGTTTCTTTTTAACTGACAAATCCCTGTCTTTTAAACGGAAAAAGTAGCTGTGGTGGCAGGATTCCGCTGTACCCTGAAGTCATCCTCATTGTTTAATGTACTCCTGGTGCTGTCCAGGAAAGATAGACCTCAAGGCTGTCCAGTGGGGCTCTGATTTAGAATTGCTGTCAGTTGCTTCTCTGAGCACATTAAAGGTCTTATAGACATTTCCATGAAACCTAAAATGGAATACCTGCCATTTTTGCTAATTTGCTAGAGCTTGTGGACCTTTTCACCTCTGGAGTCTGAATTTTGCTTGGTTTACAAATATGAAAATGCATGTGACTGAGGAAGCACTGCAAAATGGCTTTCAGCAGGAGTCAGTCTGCATTGCAGACCAGGACTGAAGATGTCTGGAAGTCTATCGGACCTTTAAGATATCGACAGCTGCTTGTCGTACGCTGTTTGATGGCTATTTCGGCATTCAGCCTCCCTCCTGGTGCTCTCTTCTTGTTTCATGTTGAACAAGCACTTCTTAAAATGGGTCTCGTCCCTGGTGACACATTTCTAGAATGCTTGAAAGAAAGTTTTCAATATAAGCATTGTGCTCTTACACACGGTAATTAAAATCATTCCTTCTATGCAGCTCACAAGATATATTTACATCACTCAGTACAGTCTGTTATAGGTTATTTCTTCAGCTGTGTAGTGAATGCTGTTCTCTCACTATGCTCTCAGAGGCTAACCTGAATTATACCTGAAGTGGCCGTCTGCATTTTAGAGGAGAGAAAAGGAAATTAAGAGTGAATATGGGGCCTGAATTATCTTTCCTGGGATGGTGCTCGGAGCTCTTGAATTAAGGTTTTTACTGTTCTGAATACCCCCTGTCCATATGGACCTCAAAGGGGTTTCTTTCTTCCTTGATTTTTTTTAATGATTACCTAATTTGTCCTGGTTTCTCCTTGCAGGCCAAACCTATTTATGGCGGCTGGCTGTGTCTGGCACCCGAGGGAACAGACTTCGACAATCCGATGCAGAGATCAAGGGTGAGAGCACGTTGAGGAATCCGGGAGAGGGAACGTTCCGCCTGCTGCACCGCGGGCAGTCCGGGAGCGACGGAGCGCGCCCGTAAAAGCCCTGCATACCGGGATTCTGAACCTCATTAAAGATTAACTGCAGAAACTGAGCATTGTTTTAACTTCCAGGCTCTTTGTAATTGGGTTGAGGGGTAGAGCTTTAATTTAAAGCATAAGGACACAAGGGGGGGGGGGGCGGGAAAGTACACATTGGGAAGTTCTATCCTTTGGCCATTTTAGCTGCTGAAGGTCAAACGCTTAAAGCACACGAACAACAAAAAGCTAATGACTTGACCTTAATAAATGACTGCTTTTAAGTCATATTATTATGGCCTCCAATAGCAAGATTTGTTTACAGTTCTACATGTTAATGTTGGTCCTTTTCTGGTATTTTACTTTCTTCCATTTAGTGTATGACATACCATATGCACTAATTTCTGTATGTATTAGAGTTATCATATCTTATTGTCTCTTTTTTTGTCTTTACCTCTTCAACGCCCGGTGTGACAACACAGTCTTTGTGTTCTCTTGTAGAAGTGGCAGAGAAGATTCTTCGTTCTCTATGAACATGGCTGCTTGCGATTTGCTTTGGATGAATCGGTAAGCTTTTAAGGCTTTGTTCTTCAGACCGTTTTTTTAATGACAATGACAAAGTCATTTTGGAGTCATTTGTCCGGTATGTTTTTTTAAATATCCACAAAATTCAGCACTGTGCCTCTGCGGTGATCAAAGGCCCGATGATGTGGTCTGTCCCTGTCGATGCAAGCAGACCTGTCGGACAGTCAGGGTGCTGAGAATGGCTACGTCAGCTGTCAGCTGTGAAACGTGCAAACAGCAGGCCGAGCCGTCCAGAAAGGCGAAGCTGATATTTTGATTGGCCGCGAGGCACATTCTGTTTTCCAAAGGTGGAAGTTTTGGCTTTGTGAAGCAAGAGGGAAGTTTTGTCTCAAGACTTGCTATCCTCATTGTGGAACTTTTTTTTTCCCTTTTCTGCTTTGAAAGGGGGTTCCTGTTGTTGGGACTCCTTAACAGTCCTCCACGACCATGGTCAATGCTCTGTGCTTTTTTTTTTCTTAATGTTCATCTCAGAAAACATAAAGCAAATATTTTCATCATTAGTTATTTTAAAAACTTGCCAGAGTGAAGTCAAAATACGTGCAAGCACGCAAATACAAGACATTATTTTTTCCAAATGTACCAAAGCCACCAGACTGTGTTTTTTCCATGCAAAACCCAAAAGCTCACATGGGACAGAATGAGGAAGTGCAGGCAGACTTCACCTCCCACCCACCTTCAAGCTGGTCATCTTTTAACACATGGCAGTCAACACAGCCTTGTACCACGGGTTAAACTCAGATTGGAGGAGAGGTGCGTCTCTCACTAACAGCACCGCAAGCCTCCAGGCCCCCAGTAGGGGCCACTGTGTTTCTGGCCAGCTAATACCACTCTGCCCATTGCCTTGGTTGGCTGAATGCACCCTTGTGGGAAATCCTGGTTAGTGATGTGGCCCATGCTAACAGACCTCAACCTGTACTTGAGTGAGCTGCTCAGGAGAAACCTGAAAAGTATGTATGCTTGAGAACTTGTGGATGAAAGTTCTAGAACTAGCTCTGCTGGAGAGCCACAATGTCATCATCTGATCTGCATAGTGTCTCAGCGGTTATTGAATCTGTTGTTGATTGAGCTGAATGAGTCTTGATTCCTAGTCCTTATTCACTGCCCATTCTCAACAAGGCTGTGTCTTTAAAGCCCATGGATGTCAGTGCCTTGTCTACTGCTGTCCTTATGTATTGGGGTGCAACAGTAGTTTAGAACCAACTGAACCAACCAACTGTGAAAACAGGAGGCACTATACTCAAAGCATTACAGGGTTGTGGTACGTACTGCCCAGTTGTGTAGTCTAATTGGATCTCTCCAAGAAATAGCAGGACAAGATCCTTGGATTTGCAAGTAACTCTTAACAAAATGCATAAGATGATGTTTACAGTATGTCCTGCTCTCATTTGTATTCGTTGTTTTTATCAAGAGCAGAATTCCTTTTTTTTAGCCATTGGCAAATGGAACAAACGGTTCTCGCATTGTAACACCAGCCCTCAAAACCTCCTCGCCCATTAGTAGTTCTTCACCGCAGATGTGTTGCGTGTCAGTGGTCCCTTACAGTCGAGTCCAATCCAGACAGTTCCACATGAACGAGCCAGAGGAGTTCTCTGACCCTTCAGCAGATGAAGCCTTGTATGAATGTAAACACTCCAGCCTCATGGTGGCAGGCTGTCGGAAAGGCTTGTGCTTCACATCTGGAAAGGGGCTGCTCATTCTCAAGCAGGAGTAATAAAGCCTGTGTCGCTGCAATACAACTCTTCCTTCGATTGTAAAGGCTATTAAAGCCCGTCAGCTGCATTGTTTCTGTGGCCTTTTCATCTGTTCTGGGAACCTGTAGAGAAAAACAGGGAAATTGGGTCAGGGAGATCACTCTTTTGTGTCCCCAGAAATAGTAATGTGTGCCGACTGAGAAAACATGCTGCATTTAGTTTTTTAAAAAAGAAAAATTAAAGTATATAAAATTAAATTTGACTTGATTATTTATGTAAAGTGTGTCTTCCACAAGTAAATGTGTCTGGGCTTTTCTCTTTGCTCGTGGGAAGTGTTTTCCACTTGTGACTATTTAGGGTTTTCACCTCACTGAAACTTAAATGTGTGCCTGGCTCCCCCTCATTGGTGTTTTGGTCTCCTTGCTTGATTGTCATGTTGCGTTGATGTTTACAACTGGATCTTCCAGTTCAGTACTTATCTGTTGATGCAGGGTACACCGTTTCTTTGGTTAGTAAGGTCAGAATCAAGTCATTGCTGGCAAATCCACTTTAAAATCTTACAAGGTTTTCACTCTGCACACTTCTTCAAAGGAATGCTCTTTTTGCAGAATGAGTTAATTGAGTGATTATGGGACAGTTTAAGGCCTACTTCAGAAGAGAGTGACCCTCCAGTTGTAAAAACGAGGGTATGACTCTTGTTCCTCTAATGTGCCCATATTTGGTGAAGCTTAGGGGTCTGCTGGTGACTGCACTATACTTTCTGAAAATTAGCCTAGATTCATAAAACCACAGGAAAATGTAAAATATGCTTGTGATTTACATTCCAGAGCCTGTCTGCTCTGCTGTAGTATCTATTTCTGAAAACTGGATAAGATGAAATAAAAAGGGCTGAGGTACAATTTTTGCGTATTATTAATGGAATGGATAACTTAATCTTAGAGTTTATAGAGACACGGTTGAGACCGTGCTAGCAGAGCTGTAGCTCATTTTAGCTGCCATATTTGTCTGCCAGATGCTGAGTAAGATCTGATTTTTTTCATTCTGGATATAATTTTTAGTCTGGGAAGTAAGGTTGTTGTGGGGGGGTGTCAAGAATGTAGTAGGGCTTTCTTGCTTTAAAACAATTTTTTATGTGTGCGAGCACTCTTTATTATAAATGTTGACACGCTCAGGCATGTAAGAAATGGAGATACCTGAGCAAATCATTTTCATGCTCTAAAATTATTTCATCTGATGTGAAAAATCCCCCATCTTTGAATTGAGAAACATTTAGTGTCAGTGTTTTATAAGACCCTTTTTTTTTCTTGATTCATGACAAATAATACAGATACAGGAATATGAAAAGCCTGGGAATGCATTTTGATTTAATGTGATAGAAGAAGTTAACACCAGATATTTTTAACACTAATCCCTTAAAAACCATTGCAAATTTCCTGATTTAAAATCAGTAGTATTTTTCCATTTTGCGTGTCTTTATATTTTGCCGTGCAGTAGTGGGAGGCTAGAGGTTTCTGTGTTTATTTTAATATACTGTGTGGAATGTGTTGTTCCCTCAAAAAATGATTAAGCTTTAAAGATTAAAGATAAAGAAAAGAGCTTAACGATTACCTGAGCTGTGAAACAACATTCTGCTGTGCTATCTGTTTCCAAAAAACACTTTGCCAACACTAAACTTGCACATACAGTTTCTTTCTACTGTCTGCAGTTCAGCAATGGCTTTCTCTCCCTGAGAAGTAGGTTATTTTTAATCTTAACCTCTTTCTGACTTATTAATAGCAGCCCATAAAATCTAAAACAATTTGAGGATACGGGGCTTGATTTTCAGTGCAGAATTAATCCACAGTAATACAGAATGTATGAATGGCAAACATTTGGCAGCACAATCGCTTTTATTCAAATGCCAGGTTTAGCATGGGCACACGAGCTGTAGTATAGAGCTGGTTTCTATGGGCACACGAACTGTAGTATAGAGCTGGTTTCTATGGGTACACGAGCTGTAGTATAGAGCTGGTTTCTATGGGCACACGAGCTGTAATATAGAGCTGGGATTCTGTGGGCACAGGAGCTGTAGTATAGAGCTGGGATTCTGTGGGCACAGGAGCTGTAGTATAGGGCTGGTTTCTATGGGTACACGAGCTGTAGTATAGAGCTGGTTTCTATGGGTACACGAGCTGTAGTATAGAGCTGGTTTCTATGGGTACACGAGCTGTAGTATAGAGCTGGTTTCTATGGGCACACGAGCTGTAGTATAGAGCTGGGATTCTGTGGGCACA